GCCTGGGAATCAGTATCCCTAGTTGTCTCGACGAGGTTCTCTTTTTAGACGAGGACGCACACAGCATCTACCAGAAAGCTTGCGAGTTCAAGCTGCAAAAGGCAACTTGATCAGGCATTCTCTCATGCATAGCTGCAGGCCACTTCAGACAGCTCGCCAAAATTCGAGCCCGACGGATGCTGCGGTGCTGGCAGCCTGTGCATCAAGCAAAGTCCGGAATGGCATGCCTCACCGTTTGGGGGTGGTAGCTGTCTACGGCACGAAGAAGCTTCGGCATTAGAGAGCCTGGGACGAGCTCCAGCCGCTGCGGCTTTCCTGATAAAAGATGCCGATCCGCTCCCTTTCGGCGAAGGGCCCACTTCAACCTCTGGCTGCCAGTCTCGGCGCACAGGCACCAGAATCCTCGCGTCAGAAGGACCAAAGGCGTCTGCTCACGGACATGAGTAATAGCAGCTCTTGCGTGGACGGCAGCGTAAAAAACGACAGAACCTTGAGAACAGGCTCTCACCGACTGTCAGCAAGCAAGGGAGAAGAGGGCATCCCTGTACGAGGATGCTGTGCAGCAGGGAGGGCTGCGATTCCAGAGACCTTAGATTACAAGCAACCTCGGGTTCAGATATTCCCAGGCCCATGCCCGGCTCTCAGCTCAAGACCACGCCACTCCGCCCCCCGAAATTCTAGGCGTCAGGGCTGTCATACACACATGGGCACAGCCCCACGAGTTGATCCGGAGATTTTCCCTGCGCCTAGTCGAAACCTGAGGCCGCGGAATTCTGTGTGCTGAGTTCACCCTACAAGGGGTCCTAAACCCTATAGACCCTAAACCCCAAAGCTCACAGAGCCAGGACAAGGGCTCCGGGAGTGCACCGCCTCCGCCGCCGCGCCCCAGCAAGCAGACAAGTGTGCCAGACGCTGTGATTTAGATCTAGGCCCTGGGGTGTACGGCTCAAGCCAGGTTGTAGGATCTAGACGGAATCCGTCCCGATGCTGGCCGGTTTGGAGTGGCGATCCTCCGAGAATGCACTAGGGCAACACCGAACACTTCATTGCTGCGGAAGACTCCAAATTCCCTCCACAGAGGCTGCACCCCGCTCGGCATCGGAGCCCGTCACGGCCTCTTAGACTCTTGGGCTGGACCTGAAAAACTGGGCAACCCTGAAACCTGCAGAATCCCAAAACCTTAATGGCCCTGATCCCTACATGGAAGCACACAGGAACCGAAGCTCAGGGTGGAGACCCCCCGCCGTCGATGCCGATGGCCCAGACGTGGAGCTCCCGATCTCAACGGAAAGCTCCCAGAACCCTCCTGCGAAGGGCGGAAAGCCGATGCTCCGTGGCGCAGGCGCCAGCCTTTACTGTAAAGATCTCCGCCGAGACAAGTGGCATGTCGAGACAAGCCTGAGTCAGGGTGCGTGGTTTGCGGTTTTGGGATGTAGGGAGGCTTCTTGCCTCCCGCTGAGTAAGAGTTCTACTTGCCAGTTGCAGGATCAAGCACCCACCTCGTCGAACTGCTGGGCATAGCACAGCCATATAAGCTCTAGCCTAGATTCGTAGATGGATTCCGGTGGCCTGAAGGATGCAAGCCAAGCATTGGCCCGCAAACAAATGTAGCTTAGCGCGTGGGGCCGGGGGTCCGATCGTGGCATTGGCGTAAGCCCAAGCGACACCGTTGGACTGGGCCAGCTGGTTGTCATCTCCGCCGCAAGCACGACGCGGGCACAGAGCCCTTAAACTCAAAGCCTCGACAAGTCTTTCTTGTATCCACTGGCATCCTAGAGATTCCTGGAGATTTTTAGAGATTCCTGGAGATTCCTAGAGATTCTTGGAGATTCCTAGATCGTGAAGCCCCACCCATCCTGACAGGCATGCAGCGCCACCGATGCGCTTTCTGCTTGAAGGCAGCGACTCGGCTGGGGGACCAGATCTTGGTGCAGAGGGACGTATCAGCGACGTCTAGCGCGCTCGGAAGGATATCAGCAACCCTCCATTTTGCAAGACAGGACCTACAGGCCCCAAACCCCAAAACCCGAAACTTAGACGCGAAACCCGAGAGAGAGCCCAGGTGGCCTCAGAAGCCTGCGGTCCGTCTCCAACCGCTCCTTCTGGCAGAGAATGGGGGTCTCTTTATGAAGGCTCCCACTCTTTGGGGTCTGTGGAAAAGAAATCTCGTAATGTGAACCCCCGCTTCTCGTAACAAAAACCTGTGGCATGGTTGGAACTGCGAAGCAATGGCCCAAAACAAGGCGGCGTAGGACTGCAGAGAGTTAATCTGCGGACTCCGCAGTGGAGTGGGTCTGACACACGGGCTTCAACACTTAAAGTCTTGAGGGCCTGCTGCTACCCATCTGGTCCGAATTTCCGCGGTGCAGGATGCTGGGTTTAACTCAAGTGGGAATGTCCATGCAGCTTCATGCCAGAGCACTTTCGCACCCCCTTGCCGCTCATCATTGCACGGCATAAGCAGAGTGCCGGCGGCATGGGACGAATAAATGACAAGACTTTAGGGTAAGGGCATATAAGTGGCGAACACCTCCTACAACGGCACGTCATCTTGCACATCGGTCGCTGATGCTGGTTGCAGCTTGAACAGCTGCTCGTCATGTCAGCCACTGAGAGGGGCTGCAAGCTCCGTAGACTTGCAGAAACCTTTGTAAACTTTGTAGAGCCTCGCCGCTCTGTTGTGAGTATCTGGATGGCGGAAACAGCCCAGCCTGCCCACAAAGTAACCTTTACGAAGAAGGAGATACGCGAATCTACGAGCCTGGGCTGGGTTTCGAAAGTGATGCCTCGCGCGCTGCTGCGGCATCCCTGGCTTACACGCGGCTATGTCCTTCGTGTTTGCCTGGCAAAGCCCACTGAGGCAAGGGAGATATTGTTCATCTGTCACAGAAACATGCCCACATTTTGGATTCATTCACCAGGCGCCACCCCTGAACCCTAAACCCACTACAATCCTGTCTCTCGCAACTGCACCCTCTTGTCCGAAGAACAACTCGCGCGAAGTCTCAGGCTGCAATTATTGTCACAACCTGTTCCGTGCGACATGAATCCACCGCAGATCCCAGCTGCTGAGATAGAATGGACCCCATCATCTCAACCTGTGTGTTGGAGCCTGCAGTCAGGGTTCAGGCGGCTTAGGGTTTAGGGCTCGGGGTCTGGGATTTTGGGCTTGAGCTCACTCACCTTCAGGTAAACTCGACTGCCGGGACGGATTCCAGGAGCCTGCTGCGACTATGCTTCTAGTGTTGTGTAAGCGTAGGAGACTGGCTTCTGCAACCTTGGTAGGTGGATTTAGGGTTTAGGGTTTAGGGTTTTAGGGTTTAGGGTTTTGGGGTTTAGGGTTTAGGGTTTAGGGTTTAGGCATCAACTTCAATTCGTTGGTATGCTAACAGAGAGACTTGTGGCCTGGGGAGGCCTTGCATCACCAGGCTCTTGCTTCGCTTTGTGTCTTCAGGGGCTGTTGCGTGCTCTGAAAATTCTGGCCCGACTGCTCTGTCCGAAACCCTAAACACTAAAGTCGCGCAGCTCTTACAGCTTCCAATGTTCAACAATACTACAAGTCAGGCTCCCGCCAAAGAACTGACAGCTTCGAAGACGCCTCGTTCCCATTAGGGTTTCTGTGCGGTTTTAGGGTTTAGGGTTTCTGCGCGGGTTTAGGGTTGAGTGCTTAACCTTTTTGTTGCTTGCGGTGCTGCTTGCTGTGCTAATTGAGGTGCTGCTTACGGCTAGCAAGTGTCGCTTTGTTTTACGGCCCCAACTCCAGCAAAACCTTACGGCACGGCTCAACACATGAATCTATGAACACGACCCGCGCCTTCATTTTTGAACTGCGTTGCATGTCGGCAATGTCCAAACAGTGGTTGCAAGGTTTGAAGCTTACAAATCCGAACAAAAAACAGCAGAACTCCCAAACAAAGTTTTGGTGAAGCCAAGCGACCTGGACATAGCAGCTCTCTCGCTTTGCACATGGCGGGGAGGCTCTTTTCTACACAGCTCCACCGTCGTAGAAACTTGCAATTTTGCTTAAGTACGACCACATGGTAGCTAAGATCAGTTAACGAACTAACAAGTGCATCCGAGCCAAAAGGGCCGCATCCACCCACGAAGTTGCAACGTAAGCACTAGCTTGCGAAGATCGTCTTGCATACCACACCCACCTGGCGAATCTCAGAAATTCCTGCCGTAAACATCAATGCTGAACTGCGATTCCTACACCCTACATCCCTATGCCCTAGATTCAACCCATTGGGCTATTCGCCATGAGAGGCTTTCTTTTAATTTGGATGGCGGGCACTCTTTCACCACATTTCACAACCTGTTTGTATCCAACATATCCGAATCCAAGATCCATTCCAACAACAGAATTTGCTGCATCGGAAAACATGTTAAAAGCAAGTGCGCGCACTTGTTCAAGCAAAGCCATCCTCCAGATGGTTCTTTACAGCTTGCTGGTACAGAACATGCGTTCGCGTCCCAGCGACGAGAACGTGGCACGGCCTGCCACAGGTTCAACTAACTAGACTGGAACATTTGGGGGGGGGACCTTTTCATGCACTGTGACTGCTTCACGGGGAGCTCCGCAGACATCAGGCAGGGCATGATGAATGACACTTAAACCCTAAACCGAACGCGAACGCATGGAACATGCCAACACATACGGCCTGCGCAGCCCCTGGAGCGACGCCAACGCCCCAGGAGGCGTCCAAAGCTGCCGTTGCCACGAAGAGCCTCACAGGGGAGCGTTTCAGGTACTTGTGGGGGTTTGGGAGAACCTGCCCTAAGTAGGCTCAGAATGGGGAGAGTGGGGACTGCCATATGACAGTAGCAACAAGAAGCTCACAGATCCGGACCTCTTTGCCTCAGGTCTTTCTAAGGCATTCGCCGGATATGTGCAACCGGCGCAACTACCAGCAAAGGTGCTTCTGGACAGGTCGACGTGAGACGCAGCAGCCTGCTAAACCGGCGCCACTCATTTTGGGTGCTTCACCGGTCGTGCACCGTCAGGCGCTCCGCTTCGGGAGTTTACCCGGACTGGGCGTACTGGCCGCAAGAACTAGGCCCCTTGAGCCCATGTCCGACTCATCTGACTCAGAGGAGTCTGAGGAGTCGGACAAACCGAGACGATGATCCGGAGTTCTTTCCTTGGGCATCTTGGGTCGGTAGCGTCCTTCAAGCTTCATTTCCTGAGAGTGTACCTTCTTCTCTTTCATGGCACGAGGTACTATGTAGCGGTACCATGGGGGTATGACAGCGAGCGACAATAGGAAACCCACAATCGCACTGAACACCTGACGTGGTTTATCATCTTCGTCATCAAAGTGTTTTTGCCACCAGGTGTTTTCGAAGAGGATGCTGAGGGCCCTCGCGCTCAGCATGGTTTCATAAGACGTGTCAAAGGCCTTTTCCCAACAAATGCCCATGAGCATGCCGAAAGCCATCCCCGCTTTCCGCACGCTCTTGGCCACGCTCTTCGACTCCATCTCTTCGTTCCCACTCTCTGCGTCCCGCTCCGAATCTTCTTCGGGCGCAAAGAAACGAATCTTGTTCCGGATCCAATCTGCCAGCTTGATGACGGAAAACAAGCCGATCAGCGCAACTGCTGACATGGCCAAGGCGTTCGCGATCTGTGTGCGATTGGCGGCTTGCTCCGGCTCCATTTTTATAGTTGAACATGCATGTTCACGCTCATCGCAGCCGTGGTGAATGTAGTTTTTCAAGTACCAATTCATCCGGTCCTCTATGCCGTCAAAGAGGCCGATGACTCCGGCACGCTGCGCGCACCACGCGGCCGTGACTGGCAAAGTTTGGCCCATGCATTTCGGCAAGAAGCCGGAGCCATCGGAAGCCTGGCGGGTTTTCGGCATGGCCGGCTTAGTGCAGGTCATTCCGGTGAGCTTAGGTACTTGAGGAGGGTTTAAGGTTCAGGGCTTAGGGTTGAGGTCTTGTGTCTATGCGTTGGGAATCTCGTTTCGAACTCATTGGTTTAGGGTTGAGGGTGCGGAGACTCGCGGGGCCTCCTCTTTCGCTGCTCGATGCACTCGGAGGGACCACAAGATGGAGGCCCCCATCCTGAGGTGTGGGCTCAAAGCACAGAAAAGCTTAGCCTGAAATGGCTTTTGATGGAGGACAGAGAAATAAAGGATGTGGAGTGGGTGAGCGGACGAGAGGGAGAGGGAGAGAGAGAGCGAGCAAGCGAGCGAGGCATCGAGGCGAAAAATGACATCATGCAACGTATGAACCCCTGCAGTTGACGAAAGAATGTGGCATTGCAAGCCCAAGCATCAGTCCACATGCAAGAAGGACGAGCCACACAACGCACCAATCGATGTGATGCCCAAACACACCATGCGTGATGGGCATGAATCGCCGTGCCTCGCATTCCCTGCGGCACTTAACATCTCCCGAGCGGCACAGCTCACATTCGGTGCTCATGTGGTAGCACACAGCCTGCACCAGCAGGAAGGACACGGTAATGGCACATGCCTCCATTAAGGCGTCCCCGGCTTGATGGGCTTGCATGTGCTTGTGATCCTGGCCACAGCACCTCGCCAGCCAGCGGATGAGCTTCATGACCAGGACAAAGAAGACGAAGGCAAGCAAAGGCAGAAGCCAAACCCAGATTGGAAGGGAGATGAAAGGCCAGCCTTCGAAGTGGACCTTCGCCTTCGCCTCCTGCAGATGGCCAAAGTACAAGATGGTCAGGAAAGCACAAATGTGGCCACCCATGGTGCTCCAGGCGAACAACTTTTGATGCTGATCTTCATCGACTTCATCGATGGACAGAAGTCGGTAGTGGAGGATCAGAGGTGCGAGGCAGGTGAGCCCCAAAACCAGGCTCAGAAAGAACCAGCTCTGCTCTGGAGCTTCCCCATGCTCCTCTGGAAGAACCAACCTGTAGTTTTCCGAGAATTGGGGACCCTAATATAGCACCCCAACATAGTAGGATCCGTATTGTAAAGACCCCAACTTAAGGCACCCCCTAAACCCTAAACCCTAAACCCCAACTTAAGGCACGCCTTGTTTTCGGAAACTCCCACCTGATTAGCCGATACAAGGCAAAGTCGATGCCAGCGGCACAGAAGATCGAGATGGTCGTGTTCACCATGGCCCAGGCCTCTTTGGGACTCAGGGGTTTTTCAAGTGGCTTCGGGCTGAATTTGGTCTAGGGGTTTTGTTTACGGGATGAGATTTCCAGGCCCAGGCCTCCTTCCTTATATCTTTGTTGTTCCAATGCAGAAGGCAGGCTAAGAAGCCGGAGAACACCACAAAGGCGATCAAGAGCGAGGCGCAGGTCCACGTCACGTCGTCCAACTCCCCGTCCAACTCCCTGGAAGCTTCGGCTGAGGCCGGAGGTGCCATCACGGCCAAGGCCAGCAGGAGAGCTCGCGCCATGGCTGGCTGCGGGCGCTGTAAGGCGCGAAGGCTGGACAACTATCTTCGACCGACATGAATCCTTAACTCTTGATACACCCGCAACCCGAAACCCTCCAATGGTTATAACAAACCCTAAACCCTAAACTCCTAAACCCTAAACCCCAACGGCTATAATGGACCAGCCCCGGCCCAAAACGGCGGGTTTGCCGGCCGCCTTCTGGGGCCCCTGAGCTGCTGGCCGCGGAAGTGCGAAAACCGGACTACACGAAAGCTACGATGTGCCTGTGGGGGAGTTTAGGGTTTAGGGTTTAGGGTTAAGGGTTTAGGGTGTAGGGTTTAGGGTTTAGGGTGAATATGTTTGCGTGTGTATGTGTGTATACGGGAACGCACATGGCAACTGAGAGAGAAAGAGAGGTGTAGGGTAGGGTCTTCGGGTTCAAGGCTTGGGGCCACTCTTCTTCATGAGCCGACGAAGAAGAAAGGAAACTCCTGCCCATTCTAGAGGTAGTAAACAGCAGACGTGTATGAGAACAGACTGAGAGGTCAAACTAAACCGCTCTTTAACCTTAAACTTAACCCGAACCATACAGAACTGAGTCCATAAAGACAGAACTTGACCCTCTCTCGCCTTTTGCCGCAGCGTCTGAAGGCCGTCATCGCTGTGGCCAAAAAAAGGGGTCAGCGCTCTGGGCGTTTAGAGGGTTGGGGTAAAGAGGGCCGACGGATCTTCTGCTTATAGAAGCTGGTGGAGCTTTCAGATTCGAGAGTGACACGGAACGTCACCCCTATGACCTGATGTTATCTTATTTAAAAAGCGTTAAGAGCCACTACAAGAGAGCAAAGCAACATTGATGACGATTCATTCCAACAACGTGAAAACAGCTCTTTAAAACCTGGACCCTCAAGCCAAACTTCCCAAAATGCTCGTTTGCATTTTTCTAAAGCGCTTGTGCATGCGCGTGGCAAGAACAACAACACTCTCTGCCTTAAGTTTTTGCCCGCAAGTAAATTTGATACACCGAAAACACAGCTGCGCTTGGTAGAGTGTGGCAAGCTTCAACTTGATTGTTTGAAACGAATTTGAATTCTGGGTCCATTTTTAAGACCGCTTTTTTTGAATTCTCAGACCCAGAAGCTCCCACGAATCTGTTGCTGTTAAGGCATTAGCATGGAAACATTTGCTGCGTTGTCAAACAAATCCGGTTGTTTTTGGGATCCAAATGGATGCGCCACGAAAATTCGCGGGCGTTGGTTTTTCTCAACCCACGAAACGCACGAAGCAGAAGTTCTTCCAAATTTCTAGAAAACAGCGTCAGGGCCTGCAAATTGGCTGCTTCTTAAACCCACTTTGTGCACCATGCTGTGGCCAAAGCAGATTTAGAAGCGCGGGCTCCCAGCAGAGGATTTCTTTGCTCTTGTTGTATTTAGCAAATACAGGTTCCTAGTGCTTGTACCAAATGTATGTTTTGCTATTCGTTTCATTTTGGCTTTCCAAAGCAAAAATGAATGGTTCTCTTTTCTTGTGGTGGTCGATGCCAGAAAGAATAGCTTTCATTGCTTTGCGTGGGTTGGGTATGGATCCAATCTTCTCCTGAAGCGACTTTTTGTGCACGCAGGCATGTTGCACCGGGTTTGTCCAAAGTTCCTTCGATTGCAGGTTTCCATTGCGTTGTCCGATTTGCATACAAACGGTTTGTGTGCTTGACCGTTCTTTGTTGTTTTTCTCACAAGATTTTGGAGCTTGGCAAGTTTGCCATTCAAATTTTCTAAACCGTCCACAGGCCCGCTTCTGGGTCCGAAAATTGTTAAGATTTTTCGAAGTGCTGGCGGGGCCTCCAGAGTGTGGGAAATAAGAGTTATGTACATTGTCAACACAATATTGT